CGGAGGAGGAATCAAGAAGGACGATGGATTGGCGGCGATAAGCAGTAAAAACATTTTTTCCGCACTTGAGAAAAAACGCCGCAAATCTAACAAGAAGAAGTCTGACAAGGAGAAGGATTCCAGCAAGAGCAAGGACGCCAAGGGGGAAAAGAAGGAGGAGGAGCCTGAGCAATTCTGGGCTCCGAGTCAGGTCACCGTTAAATCTTGGGCTGATTGCGACGACGATGACGATTACTATGCCACAACTGCTCCACCACCCGCTCCTTGGGCCCCCGATCAGGCTTCAGAAGCTGCATCGGCTGTTAAGGACGGTGGTTTGAGTCAAGGCGAGGTAACTACCTGTTTATTAGCCGCTTAGACATACTCTTCTCCCTTTTCTCGTGTTCGTGCTCAGATCTCGTATGGAGACCTAACTCAGAGCATATTGAACAACTTCACGATCTCTGGTGCTGCGTGGACACTATGTGACAGGGGCGCTTGTCCATGAGGCTGTTAGGTTGTGGTAGAGAGATACAGTATGGGTGCGTGCTGTGACCTAGGCATCTGTCAAGGACACAACTTTAGCTTTCAACAGACCTCACGTTACCCAATGAAGTTGGCGTTCAGTCGTGTTCATGCGGCACATACGGCCCGTTGGTTCATGCAAGTAATACATCATATCATGACGATGGCTTAACGGTGCTCAAAATCCGTGGCATACCCGTTTTCTGTGGAGGAGAATCTTGCAAAAGTCAGGCGGAAGACCCATAGTGGTCTGCCGTAGTTAGGGTTCCTGGAGAAAGCTGCAGTGCAACATTTATGTTTGTTGCCTGCAAGTTTTGTTATTTTAGTTGACTTTTCAAATCTAGGTTGCATCTTTCATCGCGTGTGCGGGGACGTTTGAAGAGCACAAGCTGGCACGCAAGCCGGAAGTTAACCCAGGGAATGGGGTTATCTTCATGGTGTTGCCTTCATGATTGGGATCATCTGACCATCAGAGGACCAGACCTATCTTTCTGACACCACCAGCTTTTGCGTTATGGATGGCATTCTGGCCGGTAGGATAGATTCGTTGTGGAGTCGACTGTCCTGATGCCCCCTCGCAGCGTTTTTGGTCAGCCTGGTGACCCTGTCTATGTCTGCCGTTGAAAAGCTAAGAAATGTCGTACATAGGCTGCCCGAAAGAGAGTGAATTGCCATTTTTTTGCATGATTAGGCGATGATGTTACCATCTTGGCGATGACGTGATGCTTTCCGTCATGATCGTACGTCGAAAGAAAATGATATTCCATAGTGGATACCGTATGTTGGTAGATCCTTTTCAGGGGTTCTCTTTTGCGAGCAACATCTGTATAGATTGACTATGCCCTTTGAAAGAAGTTGTGTACAAAACCTTCCTAGGATATTAGGGTTCCAGGGTTTACAGGTGTAGTGGTATTATCAAATTAAGGACCTATGGTGAGGTCATTCAGTGATCTTGCACTTTTCTGAGTTTACTTATGTTTGTTAGCGTCGAGGATTGTTATTTCTTTGCACTCAGAGTGATTTCCATTTGCCTTTCCTACAACTAGCCACGAAAGTTTATGTTTGTATCACATTGGACACTGCCCTGGAAGTTGCCATAGACTTCTGTCATCTGGAAACATAAACATCATCCCACATCTACTATTAAATAGTAATTATCACTTGCCAGTGTGTTTTGTAATTTTAAATTTGCTTGTGTGTGATGTTACAATTTCAACAGCTCCTCCATGTTTCGTCTCTCGCATTTGCAACGGTTATTCCCCATGTCCCTCGTCTTGTTTTCGCTCTTATTTCTTGGCTTCTTTTTGTTTTCACAGGAATCCGAGGGTGAGGACGAAGGAGAGGAGGAAATAGAAGATGACGCAGATGAGGAGCAACATGAGAATGATTCCACCGGAGGAAACAATGAGGCTCCCCCCGCGAGATCAGCTCTTCCACCTATTATTGTGTCTCGTGAGCCGGAACGGCAATTGTCTAAGAAAGAGTTGAAGAAGAAGGAGCTAGCAGAGCTTGATGCAGTGCTACTGGAGCTTGGCCTCACTCCCAAGGAGGAAAATGGTCGTGCATCTAACCTGCGCCTTTGTTTCATTTATCAGTTACTTCGATGGGAAGGAGTCTCTGTGCAATCAAGCAATCAATTAGTTTAGTTTAGTAATGAAACTCATTTAGTTCCCGAGTGAATGAACAAGTGAACTGTGTACTGGAATCAATTCGGTACTCTGAGAAACTTGCACTGTTATCATACCTTTATGCTTATTGAGAATATTTATTATGGAGAATAGATGAATACTTTTTAATTACAGCGAAGCATTATTGAACCTCTAGAAGCTATATATCTGAATAATAACCTCATATCTCAATGAGCAGAGAGTTTCTCCTAGTTTACCCATAGTTTGCTGTTTTGGACAAATTTGCAGTTTTTCAGTTTTGTGCTTGTTTAGAGACAATTCTTGTATTCTCTTGGGGTCGAAATGAAGAAGAAGAATGAACAAATCAATGTGATTTGTTCATTCTTACGCTGCATATCATCTTTCCTTGACTTTCAACACTGCAGCAGGAGTGGTTCTTGTTGGCCATTAGCCCTTTATCTTTGGGAAACAAAGTGAGCTCACCGTCTGCAAACTAGAGTGTTAAAGGAGATTTTAATGTGGACACCCAACTTTTCTGTAAATTAACCTGGTTGCTTGGTTACTTGTGCAGGCACCCCCCTACCTATCGTCGATGAGGTCGAGAAGAAGGTTGAGAATGTTGGAGAACAAATAGAGGAAGGTGAATCTAGAAGTGGTGGTCCCACTCTTACAGAAAGCAAGAGCACGAAAAGGAGAAAAGCGAAGAAGGAGAAATCGTTTAAAGAGGGCAAGGATGGGGACGTTCCTCCCACACCAGACGCAGATTCAGTTAGGACAGTGGAGGAGACCACTGCAGAAGAAGGGGACACAAATGCCCCCCCTGCAGACCCTAAGGCTGAAGTCTTGAAGAAGCTCGCCTCGCTGAAGAAGAAGAAGTCGATGAAGGAGAGTGACGCCGCTAAGGCAGCTGTCACTGAAGCAGCTGCAAGGGCCGCTAAATTATCAGCTGCCAAGAAGAAAGAGAAAAATCACTACAATCAACAGCCTGTCAGGTAAATCTTTGTAGTATATGTTATTTATGGGACGGAAGTTGAAGAGCGGGAGCCGTTTGAGAGTTCAGGGTGGTCTTTTCGCAGTATTTGTGAATTTAATGTAGAGGTTAACTGAGGCTGCAGATTTGCAGTTAGGGTTCTTCTCTGCCCTAGATTCTATTTCTATTGAGATTATCGAATGTTCATGGGTGCAAATACCCACCATAATAGAGTGTTCACTGCTGGAGCCCAATAAAATCCCGGATCTTGGATCCTTAGGAGCAATCACCGTTCTTGCAAGTGCTCGTTGTCCTTGTAAATTTGTATGGGTCTGGCCAAGCTGATTCTGAAGTCTAGGGTTGTATCGAGCGGGAAGCTTGGGAGCTGGTGGGTCACATGGTTTGGGTGGGTTTTACTTTCTGTTAGCACCTAGTTCATTCTTTGGAGCTCTGCAGTGGAGCAACTACCTCCTTAAATTCGGAGCAGTCTAGTGATTTCCGACCATCCAGAGTGATATTTTTGATAAACGAAGCTGAGGAGCTCTTAATGCTCATGTAGTTACTCAATTTCTCAAGTAAAGTGGTTGGACCTTGTTTGTGAGACGATTGCTAAGTAGCAATCGATTTCTTCTAATCCCTGAGTAACGTAGCAAATATCCTACAGAAACATACGCGAGGTTGGTATACTAGTCACTACGATGTTTTGTTGTCGATATACGCAAAGGAAACGGAGAAGTTTGTAATTTCAAGTTTCTTGTGCGAGGGTGTGATTGGTGTTGGATCGACTTGGTTGTAAAACTCTCGCTTTACTGTCTCACATATTTTCCAGTATTTGTTCATTAATATTAGGCGTTTTGCCCTGAATTTTGGTCCACGAGATAAAAGTTAATCATCATTTTTTTCACAAGTGGAATTACTGTAATCTTGCTTACCTCATAGACGTTTTCAATCATTTCGTGTTGTTTCAATAAACCTATCAGTTTGTTTGAAGAATGGTCTTTCGTCTCCCAGTAGAGAAACAAGCTTTCCTAACTTTTTGTTCAACAACCTAACTTGCACTCGAGCATGGAATAGTGCGCGGATGTAATCGAACACCGGAGTAGTTGTGATTGGAAGAAACATCAGGCGTAGGATGTAATCAAGCACCGGAGGAATTATAATTGGAGGAAACGTCAGGCTTAGGTTTTCCAATTATTATGTGTAGCTCTTACTGTCCCATCACGATGAAGAAGGAGGAAGGGACTCTAAGTGGACAAAAAGGTACGGGGAAGGAATACAAGCCTTTATAGTCGCCGAAATTTGTCAGCAATTAGTACCTCGTGGTACGGTTTAACAGGGGTGTGGCAGTAGTCTGCCGCACACTTTTTGCAGCTCTGAAAGGTTACGGTGAGATTTACACTGGACCAGACAACTGGTGATCTGAAACTATAGATGAACGCTTTTGGGGACACAAATCAGAACAGAAATCTAAAAGCATTTGAGAAGTTTCAAACAAGGAGAAGCCTTTAGAGACACGCTGCCCGGCGACAACAAATCACATTAGTAGTCTTTGCTTCTCCTTGACCATCATTGGATACCGCAATTTAAATGAAGGAAATTTTTCGTTCACAAAACAAACTCTCACGAAACCCAATTCGTGCTGAACCTCGTCATAATACAGGAATGAAGCCGACTAAACTCATTGGATTTGGTGATGGTTCTCTCCATCGCTCCTCATTCCGTGTGCATCCGCTTTTCCTTAAGAAGCAAACTGCTCGTGAGATGGAACACTTCGTAAACAGATGGAGAGGACACAAAAAGTTAGAAAATTCAAGACGATTAGAAGAAAAAACGTTACGCGGGACAACTGAACTTCAGCCTGGCCCTCTCCCCTCCGAGCCAGACTCGCCGTCAAAGCCTCCCCGTGACCGGGTCTCGAATCCGGACAGTCTGGGTGCAAGCCAGGTACCCTAACCATCTAGACTATTACGGAGATGTCTCAAATGTATGCTTGCTCTTATCCTTGAGCTTTGGGTGATAATCTTCCCTGTAAGCTTACTGTACATCTCCTACAATTAGTCCATATTTACTTAATATAGCCGGTAAAGTACTTGTAATCGTGGCCAGTAACGAGAGTAAGGACAGGCCACAGTAAGATCACAACGTTCATGACATGGGAACCCTAAGGATAGCAAAAAGGATGATAATACCCCATCAAGTCTACAAGGATGAAACCAAGGGGGATGGATGGGGCTAGCCCCCAATAACATCATGACGGGAAAATATAATTCTACACCTAAGATATCATAACTATCTAATTCAAAGCGAGCATCCAAAGAAATATCACTTCACATGATTGCTCTCCTATAGATTCCACACTCTATAGAGTAGTGGATACATGTAATCTAAAATATACTACACAATATGATAAAGAAAGTGATACCCCATGTTGAATAGTATGGGTTTTGGGTTCAGGGTTCAGGCACTCTCACAAACTTACGCCCAAAGTTTCATATAATTCCAAGGCTAGAGGAACAAAGAGTTGACATCTACGCATACCCATATACTTGGACACCTTGGCTGTTGTCGCTCCACTTCTCGCTCATCATTGTAATTATTTTATCTAATTATAATTATAAAATCGTTTTATTTTAATTATAATCAGAAAAAATTATAAAATAAAAGACAAAAAAATTATTCAAATTAGATATATTTCTATCATGTATAAAATTTCATCCATGAATATGAATATATAATTAACAAATAAAAATATTTTTTTAAAGATTTAATATATTACACATCATCTATATTTTAAATTTATTAACCTCTTAATATAATTACTCATAAATTTATAAATATATTTTTTTATCTTTGAATAATTATTTAATTTATGTAATATATTAATTATATATAAGAATAATTTTAACATATAAAAAAAAAATATTAAATAAGTTTAACAAATAAAAAAAATAAATTAAGTTTAAGATCTGAAAAAAGTTTAAAACTATTTAATATGTATCAATTCAAACAAATTTTTTATAAAAAATTATTATTATATAATTATTTTTAAATTAGAATAAAATTAATTAATTTTATTGATGTATAATGATTTTTTCATATAATCAAAATATTTTAGAAAAAATATTGCTATAAGTACTATATATTTATAAAATTTTATTTTTTTTAAAATTAAAAATATTTTAATATATTTGATTGAAATTAATAAAATTTAATCAAAAATAATTTCAAAAAATAAATGCAATATTTTTAAATATATTAATTTTTTTAACAATTAAAAAATAAATTTAATTTATTATTATGTTTTAATAATTAGATTTAAATTTTAAGATTTGATTTTATTATAAAAGTATTTGATTAAATACCTTTATAAAATTTTTAAAGATTGCATATGTTTATAATAATAATCAAAAAAAATTATTACCTTTAATTTGATTCAAAAATTTTATATATTTTAAATAAAATTTGGGATAAAATTTTACAACTAAAATGATAATATATTATATTCATTTTAATTTTTTTTAATAAGATTTAAAAAATGAAATAAAATATCAATCATGAGAACACTATTGTTATATTTAAGATAATTCATGTTGAATTTAACATTTCATCATTATTAAAATACCCAAATACTTTAAGTTTAAAATAAAGTTTTACAATAATAGTATACTTAAATAAATTATGAATAAAATGTCATGATAAGTACAAGGTTTTTACATGTTTCAATATCATTTGTATATCAATATACTTGAAATTAGTCATATTCATAACTATTAATATCAACTAAGTATTATATACATTATCAAACATATATTTATCCTTGCAGAAACAAATAAATTAATTATCGTCATAATTATCAACTACTTGAGATGTCCATATTTTTTTATTTCCTGATTTAACAAATTTTTCCTATTCAATTTTCTAATTGTAACCTATTCATCCTAGAGCACATTCTCTTGAATATTTAATTCCAAACCTTTAAATATTAATTTTAATGACAATAGCTTTTGTTGTTAGATATTCATACCTCACCTTCCTCAATATTTATGATTTGAGATCTTGCACATATATTTGCATGAACCAAGTTACAACACTAATAATGATTGGTTTTAAATCATCTTTTAAATCATACATAAGGCTTTCTTATGTCGCATACATACATATTGTATCACAACATACATAACTGCCATCTTCCATTATATGTGTCTAACTTCAAAAACTACCTTTTTAGGAAACCTAATTTGAACTCTATCATTTGAGCCCTTAGTCTATTAATGGCGCTAATGGGTCTAATGGCACATCTAGTACAAATGAGTCTAATTATTGTATCTATTCATGTATCACAACATACATCACTGCCATGCTCCACCATATGCGGCTAACTTCAAGAACTACCTTTCGAGGAATACCTAATTGAACTCTATTACTTGAACCCTCGGTTTGCTAAGTTTAAGCTAAGTAATGAGACCTCCCAAGCTTTTTCAACTAGACTAGCTTGGGAGGTCTCATTGAGCCCTCAATTTGCTAAGCCATCTTAAGTAATGATAGGAAATTTTTTATGGAAAGTGATAGAATTCAATTAGATTTTACTACAAGTGAAAACTTAATTGATATGGAAACTGATAAAATTTGACATTGAAAAAGCTTGGGAAGATTCATTACTTAAGATTACTCAAAATTTTTCAATGTCAAATTTTGAATGAATCACTTAATAATCCTTCTACCATGTCAATGAGATATCTTTTTTGGCAACTTGTTCAAATAAAGTATGTACTATATTGAACTCTTCTTGTTATTTCCTATCAAAATCACTAAAAAAAAATTCACATCCTTGTCATCATTATAATAAATTATCAGAAATTTTTTTATCCAATATTTTAGTATTACATTTTTTAAATTTTATATTATAAGTTATTAATACAAAATAATCAAGACAAGTTTCATTTCAAAATGATTTACAAGTTTTAAAAATCTCATTGTTGATTTTTCACCATACAAAAATCATATTTGTCTATAAAAAATCAATTCACAATTTTTTTAACTTTTTGATATTTTTGGTTAATCTGATTCGAAAACCTTTAATAAAGAAATTTCAAAAATCTTTAACTATCTAACACTCATGCCATGTAATTTTTTTAAAAATATCTTATTACTCACCTAATTCTCTTAGGAGATTGATAATCATAATTGGAGTTTCAAGTCCACAAAAATTATCCTTTCTCTCAATCTTATATCCATCAATGTTAACAAGCAATCACTAATTGACCATCATTGTTCCATGAAGAAAACAATTTTTTTGCAAACTTTTAGCATGTACATTCCAAATTTAAATCAAAATCCATTCTTTGTGATACATGACTATGACATCAATTTTTTAAAAAATATTTAAATTGAAATAAATTTTTTAATATCTTATTATTTAATTCTATCATAAATATTTAAATTTTTTTTTACATATTTGTACATAATAAAGTCTGACACATGATGATACGAATACTTAATATGTAAAAAAAATATTGAATTTTAAACATTGCTCCAAAAAAAAATTGCTTGACAAATAGTTCATGCTCTTTGTTATTGCTTGCAACCATTTCATTTCAATCACAATTTTTAGAGCAAATGAAATATTTCCAAAATAAATAAAACATGGACTTCAATTTCTTAGTCCCCGTTCCTCATCACTAGATAGTTTATTCTTCCAATATAAGACAAGTTTCTTCAAAAGCATGTTGTCTTTTACAGTAATTGACATACTCTTCTTCAATACTATGTTGTAAAAAAAATGGATGTTTCTAAAAGATTCACCTCATCTTCATTGATCATGCTGTTCTTTTCTCACTAAGTTTTTCAGGATGGTAATAACCTTCAAACAAGTTTGTTGTTATTGTTATGTACAAGATGATCTTTAACCTCTCTTGAGTGTTTTCGATGCATGTCAAAATCTTGGAGATTTTTGCTAATCAAAATGGTCGGATTTTAACATCTTTGTAGGGTGAGACATCAATGAAATTATTGATTAGGAGATCCATAATATTTCCAATGCATCCACGACTAGCTTAGCAAGGATGAGTCATAGATTAACAATTAAATTACATAAATTAAGATGGTGAGTTGAATTGAGCAAGGAGTACATTCAATTGCTCACAAACACAAAAGTTGGAATATCTGAAGACATCGGGGAGCATCAATTTCAACCAGCGGTGAATTGTAGTTATCTGTCAACTCCCATCGATGAGATTATATGCACACAATGACATATTCTATTTATGGAGGAGATCTCTCTCTTGCAAGATGAAGTCAAGGCAAGAACTCGATGATATATTCTTGGAAGAACACACACAATCATGGCTCATGGACGAATATATGGGTAACTTTACATATATTTAGCTCAAGTCTAGTCAGCTTCACGAGTTTTCGTTCTATCATGACTACACTTCGGCTCTCTAACAAACACTTTCTATGAACAAGAGTTAACTAAACATGAGTCATAGCCAATAGTATCTCAGATAAAGACTACATAAACATAAACTATTTACAAATCAAAATGATGCAAAATTTGTAATTTTGCACAATACCTTGAAAACTTATCTAGAGTAATAACTTTGGTAAATGCATCAGCAGGATAAAGCTCTCCATCAATCTTGACAAGCTTAAACTCATTATTAGATAATGCTTATATGATAAAATGATACTAGATGTGCATCATTATGTAATTCATCACCTTGTTTTTTGGAATATGAAGTGCATTCTGGATATCACAATGTAGGTTCACATTAATCTGTGGCAACTCCATTTTAGTGAGGAGCTTGTTCAACCAAATTGCTTCTTTTGTTGTCTCTCCTATCACAATGTACTCAACTTCTATGGATGACTAAAAGATACAAGTTTGAAGTGTAGATCTCCAACTGATGCATCTACCTACAATAGTGAAAACATATCTAGTTATAGATTTTTGATTATCTAGATATTTCCCATA